AAGAGGAAAGATGCTGAGCTGAAGCAGCTCTCACACACAGAGGATCACATCCAGTTTCTACACAACTACCCCTCACTGTCAGCACTCAGTGAGTCTATATGCACTATCAGAGACCAGAGATATACTACAATCAATTCTAAGAGAGAAATGGACAAACATCTTAATGAAAATCACTAATGTGGATGGTTCACTACCAGAATCTGAGCCAAAGACCAGAGATGAATTCTTGAAATATTCATGTGAAATCACACTGGATCCAAACACAGCAAACAAATATGTGTTACTATCAGAAAAAAACAGAAAAGCGACGTTCATGACGGTAATACAATGTTATCCTAATCATCTGGACAGATGTACTGCTAGAGGTCACAGTAACAACAAATAAATTAAGCAGAATTAAGCATGAACAAAATTATTCAAATCTTTAACTGTGGATGGCAATGAAAAAGAAAACTTTAATTGTGTAACATAAAGGGTTGCTCAGTTTGAATGAAGCTGCTTTAAGATGGTTTAAGTAAGGAACTTTCAATTGGGGCATTAAAGTCTCTGCTTAATCAAGGTAAATAAAAACATGGCACCAAATCTTAGAACAAAAGGTATTCAGGATACTATTTCTAATACTTTCTGAACTGAACTGAGCTAAATAATTTTACTGTCTGTGTTTCAAACCCACTCTGAACGCTTTATGAGTACATATTTGCTGCTACTGCTGGTGCCACTGCTGCCTCCGTCTGTGTCTGCCCTGCTGGAGGCGTGTCTGTGCTGGTGTTTACGTTCACGGTGGGGCTTGCTGCTGTTGTTAGTGTGGCTCTGCAGCTGGATTTTCACCCTCCAGGATTTTCTGTGGTCTACCACTGTCCTTGCACAGCCCTGGGTGCATCTCCCTTCCTAGCTCTGCGCTGCTTTTCATCATTAATGCTGTACTGTTGACGCTCCTCTTGGTTCTGCCGACATGCCGGCTTGGCATTAGTGAGACCAGTGATGGGTGGTGGTTGGTTATGGTTCCTTGTACCTACTAGAAGAGGTTTGATGGCGACTTTGTACCCAGTACGTGCAAAGTGATTCCACCTCAAAACTGCAAAGTAATGGCTCCTTGGTTCAGATCCTCTGGTAGTGGGAAATCAGCTAGACACAACTAAAGTTAATCCACTGGTTAGCTGCACAGAGATGACCGCAAAGCATGAAAACCTAGCACACATAACATGCAGCAGCTACACAATACACCTGCACGATAGCGACCAACAAAACTGTTTATCAGATGAATGAGCTTCTTACCACAGACGGGCACATTTTATAGTTGTTCATATTTTGGAAAATTAAGCTTACTCAGTTCACTACAAAACTACTTTTCCTTTTTCTTAGGAACAATTCATGCTCTTCGTTATGTTGATTTTTTTAATCATAAAAAGTAGGTATTGTACAACGAATTAATGGGGCAGCCGTTGTGAGGCTTTAGAACTTTGAGTGACAGTTGTTAGTATTTCCAAACAATAAATGATGTTATGGTGTGTCTATTGCTTCAGATTAATATGATATGTTGTTTTTTTCTTGCTTTTTTGTGAAG